TAACATTAAAAATAAACTATAAAGCCATGGGATGGTATATTAAAATTATTTATGTTAGCACAACTTTATATTTTCCAGAATGTTGTTTTGTATGTACTTGGGGAAAAAGATTTTTGGTGTTTTGCACAAAAAGACCACATTTTTCATGGATAAAAATGGAACACAATGGCACATGCAAGCCATGCTTAAAGATGTATAAATTGTCATTGCATTAGATAACAAAATATTAAAGGGGTGGTTCATTCCGATTTCACTTTTTTAACGTTAGTTAGTGTGTAATGTTGCTGTTTGAACAAACAATATCTGCAAAGTTACGAAGCTGAAAGTTCAATGCAAACGGAGATATCCTCTTTTAAAATTCTGGCAGTTTAATGCCTACAAAAACAGCTGGTAGGGACTACAACGAGTTACTTCCCGGGTTCGAGACATCACAAACCCAGATAAACCCCACCCTCGGGAAAAGGCAGCAAAGGGGGCGAGGCCATGCTGCGCTGCTTTAGAGAAGAGGAAGAGAAAACTAGAGGAGCACATAAAAATATATTCATAAATGAATCGCGATTCTGTCTTCTAACGATTCTAATGGATTCACAAGTTTCAAAATCAATGTTCTAAAGCAGCGGTTCTCAATACTGTCCCTCGCGTCCCACTGCTCTGCATCTCTCTCTCTCTCTCTCTCTCTCATATTCAGCTCAGCTCCAACAATGAACTGTTCCAGTTATACACTTATTTTCACATAGCTATGAGAAGCGTTAAACATGGACGCGCGTGCAGCTGCTGTACTGTATTAAAGCTTTAATCAGGATAAAACCGTATATTAAAAGCTAAAATAAGCAGTAGCATTTACAACAGCGTATCTAAAAGTATGAGACAACAACGAACAAAAAACATAGGCCTACCATTAAAAGCCGTGATTGCACAGGTTCTGCACGATCCTCTTCACTAATATCCTCTGCGTCTCAATCGAGCTCAAACTGATAAGCACAATATATACGACACCATTGTTTACAATACAACTGGAGCACATGCTGAGGGGCGGGACTTTTAGACTCGCACTAGAGGTGGTTTAGCCAATCACAACACACTGGGCTAGCTAACCAATCAGAGCCCATCATGTATTTCTGAGGCAGGGGCTTCATAAAAGCAGGAAATGATCAGCGCGTTCAGAGGAGAAGGGACAGAGAGGTGTGGAATAAAGGTAAATTATGTGAAAAATAATGCG